CTATATCTTATCTTCAGACCATTGATTTCGTTTTATAAATATTCTTGACTTTTAGATCTGTGATTATTATTATTGAACTTATAATCGTAACGATGGAATTTTCATCTGTATATTTCCCCATGTATTCATTTGCCTAGTAGAAAACCAGGAACAGGTTTAATGGTTATACAACTCAAGCAACATGTCTAAATGGAATATTCCATTCCAGTGCCTCAGTATTTCTAACCTCTACCTCTCCAAGGCTTTCTCAACTCTGTAATGACATTACTGGTCACCCAGTAGGTCAGGTTAGAACTGTAGGTATCAACTTTGATTTTCCTCTTTCCTTCAACCATAAAGATCCTAACACTGAGATTTGTGGTTTTATTACCTCCAGTATATCCCTAATTTAATCTGTTCTCACATTCTCTACTGCAATCCTGGTCTAAACCATCATTATCTCTTACGAGGACTGCTGAAGTGACCGTCACACTCATCCGTAGTTGTGATTTCATTCTCTACCAGCACAGCATTCCATTCTTGACCCCACGTGACAAGTAGGATGATTTTATACAAATCTTACAGCATTTTATCTGCAAAATTACTTCAAAGACTACACACCTACATTCCAGCCTCTTTCTCTTTCAGGCCTTTGGTGTGTTCCTTGAGTAAACTCAACTGTACAGTCTTAAACCTCTACAGAATAAACATAGCCTTTGCAGGTGGTACATTTTCAACCTGAAGTAACTTCTCTCCCTGGCTGTTTCCCTTTAAGCAGTTGGAATAAACTTCACTCACATTGGTTTCTATCTCTTTGTTTTTACCACATTTGAGTTTCTTCCTAGAATCTCCCATCACCAAAATCACCTGTATTCACTTGTTTTCTGCTTCACGTCAAATCACTGGAATGCAGCCTCTATAAGAAACGACACTTGTCCATCTAGTCACATCACTGAGAATATATCTAATGTGTTGGTCACTTTCTTATCCCTGGGATACAATACCTTACAGCCACAACTGGAAAGCTGAGATTATTTTGTCTCATGTTTTCAGTCCATAGCCCATTGACTCTAACTTAGACAAGATGGCTGGCAGAGGGACACTGTGGAGGACAAGCTGCTCGTGTGATGGCAGCAAGGAAGCAGAAAGAGAAGACACACGTTGAAGAAGGAAACGTACCTTTTCAGGTCACACTTCCTGTTACCTACCTCTTCAAATACGTTCTATCTCCCAAAAGCAAGTTGAATATTGGGCTGCCTTGAATTTCCTCCAGCAGATTAATTAATCTAGAGCCCCTAATCTCAGTATCTCATGAAGTTTCAGGACATGAGAAAAATGTAGACAAATTTTCTGCCAAAGCGTAACATATATAGTCTGTAGTCCAACTGCTGGTGAAGTCCGTCTTCCCAACTGAAATCTCCTGAACCTGGCCCTGACAGTCTATGTTTCTGTTGGCATTTTGGTCTTATGAGCTCTGATTATTGATACACATCATGATTGACTTTATAGCATTTTAGTGCATCTCCAACATTTTCCAAACTCCTCCCCAAAACTGGTTTCATGGGGTCCTGAATTACATGGTCAGGTACATGCACAGCAATGACCCCACTTCTCTGGTACTAAAGTCTGTCTTGATCACTTTCTCACCACTGGGACACAACACACCCACAATTTAAGAGAGGCTTATTGAGGTCGTGTTTTCAGTTCTTAGTCCTTTCACTCCAAGCCGAATGCCTTGACAGAGCAGCATCACAGAGGAAAAGCTGCTCAAATCCTGATTACCAGGAAGTAGAAAAGGTTTTGAGCCAAGGAGAGTGGTACTCCCTAACAGGTTATGCCTCCAGAGACCTAGTTTTACCTAGTTCCCACTTGTGGACAACAGGTTAGCTGCAGCATTCCCTTGGTCCAATGCTCTTCCAAAAGCTCTGTGTATGAGCGAGCACATGAGACTCTTGGGGGACATCTAGATGTAAACCATAACAACCTAGTTTATAGTGTAAGTGCTTTGTGAGTATTTCTTGAATGATTTTTTAAGACTATTTAATCTGTTAATAACATGGAGAGTTAGTTGACAGTACTAATACTGGCGGAAGCAATTTGTATACATGCAACAAACTAAAACACTTGAAATTAGAATGGCATATGGTAACTTATATAGATAATAAACTAAAAAATCATATATTATTTCTGACAGTAAGGATCAAAATTTAGCTGGAGGAGTTACTTTTAATAGAACTGAATTATAGGCTGTTAGTATAGGTAAGATAAAGTTAATAAAATTTAGCTAACAACTAAAATCACATTCATCAAATACTAATTTTAAAAGTACTCATCTCACAAAAGAACCAATGATATAAAGAAACCATTTTTTAAATTTTCAAAGTTACATAAAAATAATATATATAATGGGAATATTCAAGTGAAAAATTAAAATGGAAAACATAAAAATTATTTAGGTGCTTTGGATATGAAGTTCTTCAATTTTGTCAGTGTATTGAAACCACATTTCTAATGTCAATTTATGATTTTTAAAAATTTTAATGTAAGGCATATTTATAGAAATGAGAGAAACAAGGTAAAATATTCTGAAAACTTTTTCTTTTCCTTGATCCATCTATTTCCTTAATCCATTACAAAATTTTTTATCCTACAAGCTAATAATGTAGACTTTCTTTGACTCAAGCTTTGTAAAGGCTTTTCATTTTAAAATAATTTTGAACACAAAGAAAAATTACAAAAGTAAGAGCATTTTTATGTACCCATTGTATCAGCCAATACTTTCCAGAGTTTCAGGGCTTCTCAAAAGACTGTGTATACACAGTTTACCAGATCGGCCTGTAATGGCCTCACAGTGAGTCAAATGTAGAGGAGTGAAAAAGATCCATCCCTTCTAAAGAAAGGAAGGATCCAGCCGTGGGCCTAGAGCCCATGGCAGCGTCCTATGTGTGCCTGCATCATTTGTCTGTTTTTGCTACTGTGTCCAAAACTCATGGAGAACAAGCAAAACCTGACTGTCAGATCTAATGGCCTTAATGAAATGAGTGTATTTCAAAGATTGCTTTGGTATTATCCAATTAGGTGAATATTAATTTAAAAGACAAGTAAAGAGGGATAAATACTTTGGAATCCATAAATATTATGTTTATTCGAGTGGATTCTTCTGTTTTGTCATGAAAGTTGCTAATTTTCTTTTATTTCTATTATTATCTTAATAACCATCACTTTCAATTCCTCTTTTAAAAAAGGTTAATGAAGGCTCTGAAAAGGGAACTTAGTGTACAGTGCCACACCACCAATCTATTTTAAAAGTTACTTTTTTTCTTTTATTTTATAGATTAGGCAGTTAATAAAGATAGATATTGATGATCGATAAAAGTAATAACTATTGATAAGGAAAATAAGCCTAAAATGGGAATGTGGTTTGCTCAAGGATAATTTGGTATAAAATAGAAATTCAGAATAAAGCTAACAGGAAAAATTAGAATTATAGTGAAAGATTATAGGTTTATCCTACTGGGATTCATTGATCAATACCTATTATTGCAAGGTAACACTCTTGGGTTAATCTCTAAGAAAACTGACTTCCTCATGGAGAAATGGGAAAAAGAATAATTCCCTAATAGAGGATGTTTAATAGTTTGTACTTAACTTGGAGTGAAATCAAACAGTTTTAATTTGGATGAATGGGCCAGTTGTCCAAGAAGTAGGTTTGGGTTCTGTTGTGAGTAGTAGGTCCTTATTCTTAATGCTTTTTTTTTTTTAAACCATGATGCAGGATGTAGGCTGACTGTGCGTGACTCTTTCGTCTTTTGAATTTTTAACATGGAAACGGTGATGCAATTTTTAATGTAATACCTACGTTTTTATTCGAATGAAATAATGGATCTAAAAGAGTGTACTGGAAATATAAAGATATGAAGTTTCCTCATGAATATTTTTACTTGTACCCGTCTTTGTTTTTGTTTGTTGGTTTGAATTGTACCCATCTTTGATATGCTTCCTGAACCACATTCCTCCTAATGCCAAATGAAGAAATGTAGAGCAATACATCTTAACCAAAAAAAAAAGGAAAAATTTTTAATAGAATAAGCTGATCTAGTAATTCAAGTCTAGGACTTAGTAACATAAATGATTTAACAATCTAAACAAAGTTATTAAGAAATCATCTTTCTCCTTGTCCTCTTCCCTGATTTTGTGCTTAGTCAGGTTCACTGTGTGGTACAGGAATGACCACAATACTTTCATGTTTATATTCTAAGAGTTTGGCTACCACAATGATGTTGTGACCATCCCTGAACCAATGTTTTTGACCAGAGAAACTGATACTTCTTATTGGCTTGGCCTGGGCCATGAAATGAGTCAGGCAGAAAAGGATAGATTTCTTAAGGAAAATCAAGGCACTTCTATCAAAGAAGAATCTCAATGGTGGGAAGAATGCTGGTTGGAAAAGCAGCAGCTGTGTATTAAGGCCTCCTTTACCTCTTGAAATCTTGACAACACTGATCCTTTATGGATTGTCTCAAGTTTCCCTAGCAAGTCATTCCCGATCTTACATCCATGCATTTTGTGTTTCTTTAGCACTTTATGCCTCTTTTTGCTGCCTATTTTAGTGGACACTGTGTAATTATCATAAGCCATGTCTTAGATTCTCTAGTGTCCATCTTCTTTGAGGACAGAGATGATTACTTGTTTTTAAAAAATCATCAGTGCCCCAACAAGCATCTGATTCATAGTAGACTATCGGCAAATATTTATCAAATTGACTTCTTAATGTTATATGAGTCATGAATAATGAAAAATAAACAAGACAAGGCAGATAATTTTATTGTGTACATAATTTATTAACTTATTAATTGACTGAAGAGGCAGACAAGCAGTGTTAACTAATCTGTTTTAAGAAGTCAGAAGAAGTGTAGCCTCCAGAGAATGTTCAGCCTCTGTGAGGACCTGCAGAGCTGGATGGCTGTTGCAAGGCCTACTCTGCTTTAACTAACTCTGTTTCTTCTCCTTTTGTTCTTCAGTTGTCTGGGTTCACGTCCAAGCTTGTTCCAGCCATCCAGAATGCCCAGAAGAATTCTACTGCACCTGGAAGAGAAAAGGGACTGATGGTGTTAACTCAACCCATTTTGATTGAGACTTATACAGGGCTGATGTCTTTCATTGGAAATCGCAACAAGCTTGGTTATTCCCTTGCTCGTGGGAGTATTGGTTTTTGAGCCTTTTTTGTTTATTTGTTTTTAGTATATGTGTATGCATCATGCATAGATGGTCCATTATTGAAGTATTTGTTTCCATCCACTGTGCTTTTGCACTGAACGTTAATTACCTTTGAATAGTCCTAAGGACTTTGAATCCTGAGTACACATTTTGGGTCTCATATGAGAATAATCAGTTTTCCTTAAAAACTGGAAATAAATATTGTTGATCCCATCAAATAATGTTTTCAAATGAGTTTCTGATCGTAAACTCTGGAGACTGTGAGTTCTTCGTTTTCCTGGTTTTTAAATGCAGACATTTTCCAGGAATTAATCTTTAGGCCTCTGATCCTGATTTATTTTCTCATTAGGTTCTCATCGTCTGTATTATGTTAGCTACCATTTTTTATGTCTATGACTTTCAAATATATAAACCCATCTCAGACATTTATTCCAGATCCAGTTTTACATTTTTGTCTGGCAAACATCGACGTGTTAGGGTTGCAAAAGCCTCTCAGATTTAGGATCTCCAAAAACCTAGAATTCTTAGGAGCACTTTTATGGTCTCATTCATCCATTCCTGAAATCCAAAGTTTCTGATTTGTCAAAACTCCTTGCCAAATAATATCCCATATCGTGCTACAACGATATGAGACTTAGTGTGGTATGCTGTTACAGTTTAATTCTGGAATAGGTACTCAAAGCCTCATGTAATCAGGATGAGACTTTGGAAGGTGAGTGAATTATGTAACTGCTTAGCTGACTTGCTGTTAGGAAGTGAAGCCTTGTACAGTTGGCTCATGGAGACAGGACCTGAAGGTATATCTGCCTCTTGTACTCCTCTCTTCTCTCTCTCTCTGCTTCCTGGCCACCATGCTGTGAGCAGTGTTTTGTTCACTGTATCTTTTTGCTCCATGACTATGGGCCGAGACACTGAACCAAAATAAAGCTCTCTTTGAAGCTGTGAGTGTCTTGCACTGCGTCTCAGAGATGAGAACATTACTAAGGCACCGTCCAGATTTCAATTTTAACACTACTGCTTCTTTCATAATGTTTGATATTATTCTTCTCTCCATTCTTATATGCATAGCATTGAATCCCCTTTTTAATTATGCTCACCCGATTATTACAATAGCCTTTTAAGGAGGTCTCTGGTTCAAGGCTGTTTCAAATAATCATGTAGTTACCTGAAGCTCAATTTGATCGTACCATTCCTATCAATTTTTTTCCAGTGGCTCATTTGCTTTTGCAGTTCATTTTTCAAATATATTTTTCAATTATAGATTCTGGATTTCTAAAGAAGTCTTCTGTAGCAGCCTAGCTATAGAAACCAGAAAACAGCAAGATTGAAATAGAGATGGGGATGTCACTGAACTCTTCCTTGATAGGTCCAGGTTGGGACATCCATGGATCTCAGAGGGTTTTGAGGACCGTGTCCTACTTAGCTGTACTCCACCCCTCTTTCTCATCTTATTTCATATTTGTGTCTCCATAACTTAGATCTAATGTTCAATAACCCGAGATAATTTCATCTCTTCTCATCTTTTCAGGATTCTTTAACTTTTTATTTTAAGTAGGACTTTATTTGCATTATTTGGAAAAGAAACTTTAAATATTGTCCATCATTAATTAAACATTATCAAAATAAGTCTTTGGCAAAACTTTTCCCAAGAGCCAAAACTGAGACACTTTGGTTGATACAAGGTGAAAACTCTACCTTGCTTATTTATTTATTTATATATTTATTTTTGGCTTGTGAGAAGTGTATTTTTAGGCTTTTCTCTGCAAAGCTTACTTCTGCAATTTGGGACATTTGTTCTCAGGTATGTTCACAAACACCAATTTGATGTAAACATTCATAACCAAAAACTCTTGAGTAACTCTATTTCATTTTGCTTTATTTACTTCCATTAATATTCCTCTCCTTTCCTCTTGTTCTCTTCCACTACGCTCCCACCTCTTGATGCTAAATATTCTTCTAGTCGTCCAGGCAAGGAACTTCTATCCAGACTATGAAAGGAAATGTTGAAATCCTTAGCTGTCCTGTCAGCAGTAGTGGAATGAAAAGTCCTAGGATTGTTTTTGGCTCTGTATCTGAAGCAGGCATTATTGGCAAATTGTCTTAATATTGCTGCCCAAAAATCCCCATATGCCTCAAATAGTGGCATTTGTTGGCAAAAGCCTCTGAAATGCCGGCACATTGTTTGGAGTTACCATTTAAGGATCACCCTGACAATTGACTTCTCTGCACATTTGTCCCTCATGTAACCTAAGCCAGACTGTTCCCAAATGACCTTCTAAAGGACATAGTGCAGCATCATAGAAGGTCCTTAGGATGAGAGGAGTAAGACATTTTCCAGCCGAGATCCAATCTACAACAATAGTGTAAGTCTTTAATGGAGCCAAACTTCTCTATATGAAGAAGAATGAGGTAAAAGACAGCATGAGAACTGTCTTTACTTTTCATAAAGACTGTTAGATAGGATATTGAACTCATTTATAAACGAGATCTAGAAAGCAGTGCTGTGGCCAGGGGGTAAGAATATTAGGTACAGTATTTGAATAGTAAGTCAAGAGTTAACAAAATAAAACAAAAAGTAAAAAACAATCTTCCTTCAGAAGGAATGAGTTGCTTCCTGAAATATTAAACCCTCATTCAGTATTTCTACTGAATGACAAGTTCAGGAAGGAAACAGAAAAGTGGATATTGTGAAATGTATTTGCTGCATTAAAATGTCTGGGGAGCCCTTAATGCTTTAAGGCCAATGACCTTATGATTCTCCAAATAATTTTTCCTAAATATTTACCTAGTTAAATATTTTTTTTTCTGTAGAAAAAGCTGCCACAATCTCAGGTTATCCTCAAAAGTTACCTTAACTTTCCTAATGATTAAGATCCTCACATCTAAAAATGGAGATGAGAGCACTTCTGCCCACTTTTTGAAGATCTTTTGAGGGTTCAACAACATAAGATCAAATTTTTCTATTATCTGCAAAACACTGAACACCTGCCCCTGGAGTGTTGTGACTTCACATCAGAACAGGGGAAGCATCGCAGGTCATGGAAATCAGTCCCTCCAGGGCTGCTCCTTAGTGACCATGAACCTGCTGACTATGATTTTCTCTTTGATACTTGGTGTTCTCATTTGTATGCTTTGTTCTTAACCTTAAAAGGCAGAAACAACCTAAGGGAATTATATGTGCACCTGGAGTGTTTCTTCACACTATCATCTGATAGGGCTCCCAAAGGGGACCTGTAAATTTACCTGGGCATCGGATTAGACACTGGCGGCAGCTTCAATACAAAGCATAGCAGCACAAGAGTGTCTCGGCTGGTGGTCTTCTTTATCTGATCTTTATTTCATTTATGAATTTTCACTAGAAAAATTTATAATAAGCTTCCTTTCAGTGCTTCAGTTGGTCCACTGATAGGTTTCTCACAGTCTTCTGATACAACTTGGGCAGTTTGGATGCTTAGAAAATTTTCTTTGTGTTGAGTTAGAACTACTAACGTCCTTGTGTCATCTTTTTCATGAAAACAGAATAGTATGGATTAGAGTGAGGTGAGCTCGGGTTGGGTTTTTATGTCATACTATGCAGAGTATGGGACACTGGAGTATAAAGGCAAAGCTGGTTGATTCTCTAACGTTTATAAGATGGAAAGTATAAAAAAATCAAGCCTTGCCTAAGCCAGAAAAGTGAAGCTAATTTCTCAGTTAGTTACTTTTGGCTGTTTTGTCCCCAGGCCTATTTTGGTTTTCTCTTTGTTGAAACAATGCTAAAGAAGCCAATTCACAGAGCCCCAGGGCTAAGGAAACGCACAAACCTAATCCATGGCTTTCATTCCACGGAACATGAAGCAAAGACCTAGAAACTGATAGAAAGTGCACAAACTGAAGCTGATAAATTCTTGCAATAGTGGGATTAGACTAAATCTCCCAATTCCTATTTTTCAGCCACTATTCTTTCTAGTATGATATTAGAAGGGCACACTCTTTGAACCAAAGTATCATAAATTTCTGGGTTAATTCTGAAGTGAGAAAACAATAAGTCACAGTCGTTTAGGGGGAATTTCCAGAAATCACTTGTATTTTCTTAAAGGCTGAGGTCACTCACCAAGCTCTCTGATTTCCTATCTGATCCAAATGCCCCAACAAAGCTGCGGAAGACAGCATAGCCAGCAGGTATTTTGTAAGGCAGATTTACCTCTGCCTGGCATTTTGTTGGGCAGGGGAGGGAGGGCCAAAGTATTAAATTTAGGCTTAAATCTCCTCAGAAATTCTTTATACATAAGAGACCAAGTTGGAGAAAAGAAGATGACTTGTGCCAAGGGGAAGAAAGAGAGAGGCTAATGCCTGTGGTTTTCAAAAGTTAACAACAACAAAAAAAGCCCGAGTATTTGCACAGGGATGAATGCTTATTGGCGCCAGGCCAGCAATTATACAAGGGCCTGTGCCCACATCCTGTAGCTGTGGTTTAGGGACGCTGCTCATGAGTGACTTCTTACGCTTCGTGGCAGGAAACCTTAGTCACTGATGTGTAAACTTACCTTTGGTCTGCACCTCCCACAGTGTACTCTGAGGCATTTCAGGGGCCTGGCCTCCTGATTCCTTTGCAGATACCTGTTCTCCAGAGGTGAAGGGACAACTTCATTGGAGGGAGGCTTTGGGAGTGATGGGGGGGGGTCTTCTATATCAGATTGTGGCAACCCTTCATGCTGATTTTTTAGCCGTAAGAAGGAAATACGAAATCTTCACTAAATTGCCCCCTTTAGCCTCAAATAGCAATACATAATAATGTGAATCATATTTCATTTCAGGGCTGTAATCAATGTGAAATATGATGACCAAAGTCATAAGGTTGCTTCCCAATCTAGATCTTGTATTTTATATGCTGTTTACCCTCAAAATTTTACAAAACATTGGAATAAAATTTCCACAAAGTCCCTTCTTCAGCAAATGTACAAGCTCAGTTTAATTAACTCTTACATTTGTAAGGTATACGTGAGAGTTCCTGGTGCTCTATTACTGATGCAGAATAAATAAGTTATCTGGACCAGCATTTTGCCTCTGGTGTCCTGGCATTGTTTATCCCATTCATCTCAGAATTCTTTTTCCTTCCTTTTATATTCCTTATTCTGTATGGAATAATTGAATCTGAGGTTGAAAGGGACCTTAAAGTTCACCTAGGTTAGCCTGCTACCTACTGCAAGAAAGACCTGAATTAACATATGCACAACATAAACATTCTCAGAGCACAGAGCCCTTCACTTTCTAAGGCAATTACTTCTATTATCAGTGGGCTGAGGGGGTGCTTTGCTCAGTTTTCCTGGAAATCACAAGTAGGTAGAGTGTAAATGTTATCACTAATAGTCCTGGGCTTTGAATATCAGTGCCTGTCAGCTCTTAGAGTTAGTGGTTCTCTGCCACCTTCCTGGGTGTTGAAAGTGGCAGCTGCTTGCTTTCTTTGGGAGCTCTTTCAGGAACCAAAGATGAAGGCTCCTAGGAATTCTCTATTATTCTTTCTCAATGGCTGCTGGCCACCCCCAGTGTAACCCAGAGAAGCTGGTGGCTGCTTTCATAAACCACAAGAGGCAGAAGTATGTCCTCTAAAAGAGGCTTATTAGGACTTGTGTTGCAGTACAAAGGAATAGAGCGTGAATGAACCATTAAAGGTACAAGAAGTTTGGTTATAGAAAGAAAAAAGTACCATCCAGTGTGTGCAATGTGAGATGCTCTGTTTGGTCACAGGAAGGTGAGGAGTTCCTGTAGATGGTTGCAGAGGGGTGGAGTCTTGCAGAGAGCAGCTGCCAGAGTATCCTGTGGGATGGACCATTACTAAATCTGCTCTTGCTAGATAAATGTCTCCTGCAGGCTGGAGGGTGACAGGACATCCGATATAGCCATGGTCAGTGTGTTTAAGGCAGCCATGGGA